GCACCTACAGTTGTGACAGTGAGTGACCAGTTTCATTAATTGTAATTGAAGTGTTGTACATATCAAGGAATGAAGTGAAACTGAACATTCTTTGTTTTAGTTTCATAATACATAATGTGATAGTAGATTGGTTTTAATATACTTTCTTGAAAATTAATATTGGGACATTCATAATAAAGCATGTTTAATTGATATTGTACTGTATTCCTAATTAAGGAGCAGTGATTTGACAAGTTATTTCCCTAATTAGAGGGTTGCCTTAAGATGTCACAGAGCAGGAGCCCTGCCATAAACTTTATCCTCTTTACTCCTGGTCAGCACTAGCCAGTTGGGTGTTTCGTCAGTTTTCTGCTATGCACTGTTGGCAAGTACTTTGGCTCCAGAAATGATAAAGGAATACATAATAAAAACGAATGTGATCTTGTATGAAACTTTTCATGAATCCAATCTATCCTTCCATTAATACTGACACCAGGTTGTTGTACAGTATTTTCTAATCTTAATAGTTCCTATCATCAAATCAAAGTACAGTAAGTGAAGTGTTAAAAATTCAGTATTTAGCCCATTCTCTCTGGATGAAGTGAATATTGGTAAAATTATTTGTTGAACCTCAAGTGAGAGGTCACAAATTCCCAAGGTTCCACAGGATCTACAGTAGGTCAAGATGCATTACACACTTTCATTTCCTTTATGATAACACCACAAAGTGACTTCAGCTTTTATGATAGATTTCCAGATTTCATAACTTTAATACAACACACACCTTCAGCGTTCACGACATGTACACAGTTATGGACCTCCCTTCTCATTGGTTCTCATCACTAGTCAGTGTCAATGACTGTCAGCAGACAATAAGCAGGCAATAAACATAAAGTACAGTACGTATAGGGCTTTAAGTCTGTCTTACCAAATTAATGCAATGATTTCAATTTGCTCTCAGGAGGATGGTCATGCACTCCTAAGGAAATATCAAGCAATGCTGACAACTGCAACAAGTTCTGGGAGTGCAGTAAATCAGGCAGCTGGTTTGAGAAAGTTTGTAAATTGAATGAAAAGTTTGACCCAGGAAAGATGAAGTGTGACAAAAGATATGAAGCTTGCATAAGTAAGTTAATTACACATGGATGGGTGAATCCTCAATGTTTTAGAAACAATAAGTCATGAAATACAGTTACATTATTCCCAGTGCTCATAATTTATACAAGTACAGTACATCTTTTTATATCAACTTATGGTACAGTATACTGATGATGGTGGTGATGTACAGTACACTGGTATCAACCTCACTGTGTTCTAAATATCATGTCATATACGGAAAACAAAAAAAAATTCACGAACAGCTGGGCATAACAGGTTTCAGAATGAGCACTGTCTCTTGTCATCTCAGATGGTTCATATGTCTGGTTCTCTGGTTGCAAATAATACATGTTGCTCATCTTTAAAGTATTAAAAAAAATACAGGTGAAAAGAAGTAAAGTAATTTAATTTACAATAAAACTTCTTGAAAGAGCAGTCATACACACCACTGTACATTTACAAGTGAAAGAAAATGTTATTTCATGCTTAATATTCAAGTCCACATAATGCTTAACAAATTTGAATTAGGATTCAGCCATTAATATAATTCCGTAATTAAATTACTAAAAACTCTCTGCAGTTGAGGAGTGCCAAGAACCTGGAGAAATAGAAATAGTTTCGGAAGACTGTAAAGTCTACAAGATTTGCTGGAACATCAGTGTCTGGGTGTTCAAGAGATGTCCTGGAAAGTACCATTATGACGAGAGATTGCAGGGTTGCGTGCCTTCATCGGTGTATCCTTGTCTTTGTGAGTATTTTGGGAGATGTGTACTTTCCTTCATCAGTGTACTATATATTTATTTTAATACTTTATGGTAATCACTTCTCTATTGTCTATTTTACTGCTGTTTTAAGGAGGTGATTTAAGCTTATCAAAAGGTTCTTATGACAAAAAACGATAATCTTACTCATTATGGTTACCAAAGTAAAGAACATGAGTAAAAGGAGTGATAAATACAGTACAGTACCTGTATACCTTGTTGGGGACAAAGTGCAGATGATTACCTTGTCCAGTAATACTTAAACAAAAAGAGCAAGTTACATTCCCCTCTGAGGTGTGGTAAGAGCATGACACCTCCCTCTAGGAGATTCAGGACACCTTGAGGGCACACCACTGATAATCTTGAACCAGAATTTTTAAGTTACAGAATACTTTATACTTTACTTGTCTAATACAGTACTCGTTACCTAAATCTACCAGATGAAGAGATGACAACACCACCACCACAAGTGACAACACCACCACCACAAGTGGCAACACCACCACCGCAAGTGGCAACACCACCACCGCAAGTGGCAACAACACCACCGCAAGTGGCAACAACACCACCGCAAGTGGCAACAACACCACCGCAAGTGGCAACAACACCATCACAAGTGACAACAACACCACCACCACAAGTGACAATGCCACCACAAGTGACAACAACACCACCACCACAAGTGACAATGCCACCACAAGTGACAACAACACCACCACCACAAGTGGCAACAACAATAACACCGCCACCACCAACGCAAGTGACAACACCACCACCACAAGTGACAACACCAACACCTGAAGTGACAACACCACAAGTGACATCAATAACAAGCATGGAAACAGCAATCTTATCAACAACCGAGATGGCATTGGATATCACAGCAACATCATCAGGAGAGGTGACTTCACCACAGACATCTCAAGTGACCACATCAGTAACAGATATTGGTGTGCCATCTGTATTAGAGACAACATCAGTGCCCTCTATAATGACATCTACAGCAGAAGGCGAGTACTACAAAAGTGTTAAAGGTCTTCAGTGTGGTGGGTGGCTCTCAGTGTGCAGAAGTCCTCAATCGGTTTTTGCAGAAGTTGGGGAAATTTATTTCCTCATGGCCAGTTAAGACAAATTTATATGAAAGAATCTGGGAATTTTTAAAGTTTGATTCAAGTACGTAATGTGATAGTAAGGGATTTTTGTGAGTTCACCATATCTTTGTTAAAGTAAATATTACTTGTTATGGTAGTTTTCTGGTATGGTACTGTAGAGAATACAGTATAAGCTTCTTGTCTCATTTGTCATACTGCACTTCACTGGAGTTCCTGAACTTTCTAAGGATTTCAAAGTTCTAAGAACCTTAGGGTTTGAGGGATGTCCTGTTGCTAGGTATCATCAGTGTTACAGTAGTTGGGGTCCTGATGATGATCAAATATTGTTTTGATACCGAGTTACTTTTTTCTCTTGCTCAAGTAGAGGAAAATAAAACTTAGTACTGTTCTGTATTGTACTCTTAACATTTTAGAATTACAGTACTGCAAGTTATGATATATTATGTCCAGTACAGTACAGTATTGTGATGTGTGAATTGATCTCCCTTCAAAGAAGTAACTCTGTCCATTTATATATGTATAATTGCCAAAAAAGTATCGTTAGTTTTTCCATCGCTACAATTTGAAATGGTTTGATATGATCCCCAATGCATCAACATAAGTTGGTATGCCTGCTTGCCATGTTAGCAACAGCTAGAAATGGGGGGTAGGATTGGGGGAGGGAGTCATCCTTGTATGGCATACTAGATACTGTTCTTCGAAAATGTGTATACTCTTTCATGCTCAAAGGTCATGGATGTAGAACTACCAACTGTTCAGAAACAGGTCGAGTAACATTGCTCGGAAAACCTCAAATCACATCGACTCCATGGCTAATGATACTTTTTGGGGGACTGCACAGTACTTGTATCTGATGGGGTGTAGTGGCTGAGTGGGCACAGTGCTCACTTCCTGTTCAATTTGTCACTGGTTTGCACCTGGGCACCCCCATTTCACCAAGCCATGAATGGGTACTCAATAGTTGGAAAAAGTAAAGATAGTTAAATACCACCTGTACAGTGCTGGCCACACTGCCTCCTTGTGTATTGAAAAAAGCTTTAGTCTAGTGTTATATATCTATGCTGCTTCTAAAGAGCTGTCAGGCCTATTAGACTCATTTTCACTTGTACAGTATATCTGATATTACTCAATTATATGTTAACAGTATGTGGTGGTCCTGTGCCATGCAACCCATTGAACAAGACAAACAAGGTATGGAGTGATGGTGAGAAAGTCTTGGTGAAGTGTTCAAATGACCTCACCCAGGATGATGTCCAATGTATTGTTACGTGTACCACAAATGGCTGGAGTGTCCCACCACAGTGTCAAGGTATGTGCCCCATCTGCTTCTTTTATTTATTTTGCACATTTTCCTTGTTATTCAAATAGGAATGAAGCTAAACAAAGTTGGTACTTCACAAAAGAATTAAATGGATAAACTGTTTTGTATTACTGTATATAAGAATTTGAACAAGTTTGTACGGAGGAATATGAATAAATGGTTAATAGAAAAAAAGAAGGGTACAAGGTGTGATATTTATGAAATTTTTACATCACAGAAGTCATGGGTTTGGGGTCTGGGGTTTTGACCAATAGAATTTCAGAATTACAGAATTACTCAATCCGAGATGTGCAGTTATAAAACTACAGTAAATATAATACAGTACTTAAATATCATTTTTTTCTGGCAGCCACTGAGATTGTCCAAAAGTACAGTTTAATATATTGTAATGGGACTGAAAAACATTTCAACTTAATATTCATCAAAAGTCTCTCTCTCTCTTGCCCCTTTTTTTTTACATTAAGCAAATAATTTTTCAAACAAATTTTGCTCCCTAAAAGGGGAGTAAATAGCGGCCGCTCTGTCTGTGTGTACATATCGGTACTTCTGTCCATCTCGCATTTTGTCTGGACCATAACTGTGAATCATCTTTACAAATCATAATGAAACTGTTAGATGACAAATCTTAAATTTGGGATTTTGCTGTAATGGGAATCAAAATAAGGTGTGCATTGAAATACTTCCATGTTCCAATCCTGAAGGTCAAGATCAAACTCTTGGAAGCACCCATCAGTTTCACCAGTTTGTTTTATTTAGAAGCAGTTATAACCATACACAGTTTTCATGTTCATTATAAGGGTGATAGCCCTTTCTCTAATATCTTTGAATTAAAATACTGTAATGTGTACAATAAAATCAAGTATAATAAAGGTACTGTAAGTTTCATAACACTGGCTTGCATAAGGTAAGGCAATATACAAGGTGTTCCAAAAATCACTTTACCCTCCTCTTCTCCAGTAATGAGACTGATTTACTGGAACCAAGGAGCCCAACTCCCATAAGGCCAAGTTTTAAAACTTTGGGTGTCAGGTGTAAGGTGATGAGGAAGAGGGTGAACTTAACTTTTTGAAACAGCCTGTATTTATCTGTACAGTAATGCATTTTTCATAATATATTTATATTGGGTATTTCCTTTACAATAATCATTGTTAGTATAGGTAAGTGGGTAGTATTTGATTACCTCGAGTTGTGACCCTGCCTTGTCAGCTGTTCCCATCCTGCGGGTTGGCGTTAGGAAGGGCGTCCAGCTGTAAAACTTTGCTTCAACATGCCTGATGGCAACTAGGTCACCAGAGCTGTGGCCATTCTCTGGTCTCTGCTGCTTTTTCTGAGCTGGCACCCTGGGTTTGTGGTGGTGAGCAGGGGAGCATTCCATTCTAGTTTCACCCAACAACTGCCATCAGGTAATCACGGCTAACCCACACAAGCATGGAACTGGCCTTAAAACATTGATGGTGATTAGTTAACTTTTTACTTGAAATATGTTAGATATGCTGTCAATTTTGGAGTACTAATGTACAGTATATTGGAAAAAAATATTATTTGTAGATGTAGGTTTCATCTGAGTCAATCATATCGTTTCTGGAACATTAAAAATTTTAAATAGAGAGAAATTTAGTTCCAAATTATAATTTTAAAATACAGTACTTCTTCATAGTATAGTATGCATATGATACATAAATATCTTTCATATAAGGTTCATGTATAGTAACATAAGTTCACATTTTAAACTTTATAATTTCAGATTACCGTGCAGTATGTACAGTACTGTACTTTATAAACTCTGGGGAAATATTGAACGAGTAATATCGTTACTCCAATGCGTATACCATATACAAGTAATATCTCCATTAGCCGGAATCCCTCAAACCTAGAACTCTCCAATAGCCGAAATTGAAATTTTCTCGGAAAATCATTCCCTAAGCCTTAATTTTCTGGAAAATTCTGGTTTTGGGAATGATTTTCCGAGAAAATTTTCTTGATTGGGCACCTGGAAAATTCTGGGGATAGGATATTTTTCTGGGTTTAAGAGACGATGTAATAGGCAATTTGTGGAACTTCCGAGAACATTTTTCCGTTGCACGGAAAATTCTGGGGACGAGGGATTTTTTCCGGCTTTGAGAGTCATCTCGTTACCGGGAAATCTTTCATTACTGGAAGTGCTCTGCACCAATTGTTCCTGCTAATGGAGATATCACTATATACAGTACTGTATTAATATTTTTTTTTTACTGCAGCTTTTAGCATCCCAGAAAGGAACATTTGCAATAACATCTATACATTTACTCTAAACTCTTCTCTGCTGTAACTAACTTTCTACAATTCCTTATCCGGTTCTTTAGTTGTATTCTTGTAATTGGAAAGATTTCTGTTGAAAGAATGTGGTATGTACATTATTATAAATGTGTAGAAAAAAGGCTGCAAATTTTTGAATATGAATGATTGTAAATGTTGTAAATCTAGCTACTAAATAGTTTAAACTTCTTACAATGGGCATAAACAAAAATGTAATTTGTTATAATAAAAACTAAGAAAACTGAAGTTGGCCATTTCCTTTAAATTAAATGTGACTACAAATACTACCTCTAATATTACAATTACTTCCACCACCAAGACAAAAACAAACAACTACTGTACTGGACTACATGTCTGAGGTGTGGGGTAAGTAGGTAGGTAATACAGTATTGACAGAGTGGAGGTTAGGTGAAAGGTTGCTCTGTAGGTGGCAGATAGTACCGATACTGTATAGCCTACATGGAAATAAGCTTAATGGATATTTTATCACATGTCCCACGGGTTGAGAAATACCCAAGGAACAACTTTATTTTATTTAAAAGTAGTATAAAAAATTACATACTGTATATATATTATTTTTCCCACAATTCTGATGGATAATACAGCCCAGATATATAAAATAGACTTATTTAATGTGTTCACCCTAGATGGTCCATTTATAAGTATATTCCACTAACCTTTATTTTCTTGATTATTACCAAGGGCTTCAGTCAATGAAAGCCCATACTAACAATCACTGTAATCAATGGGCCAGGGTAACATTTTGATTTTCCCTGCAAAACAATATTATTGGGATATCCATGAATGGATTATCTAGTACATTTTCTCTTTATGATGAATGACTTAAGCAATGTCTATCTATGCTTTCTGAATACAGGATTTGAAAATTATAAGATGTATAAAATCACAGCATAACCAAAAAGTTTGTATCAATAGATACAAATTTGGGATTTGGACATTTCCATCAATGCAGTACAGTACACAGGTCACTGGAACCACTGATGGTTTACACACATTATAAGCATGGTGGTGAACATTTGGAGTACATACAGCACAGTATGTATAAATACTTGCTTATGTAGAATAAATTTCTATCAATTCCTAACTTTTTGGACATCCTGCATAACATCATTAATTAGCAGTTTGTAATTGCTGCTTGTAATAAATTCTGCCTTGGTGACAATTGATGCAAATTATACATAAGTGCAGTAGTACAGTACTTGAAAACTAATTAGTTCAGTTATATGAAGAAAAGTAAAGATAAAGTCATAATTAAAAATGAATAGGTTGGCATTTCCATACAGTAGAGCTGAGGGTGGATTCAGAAAATCTAATTCAGGACTCCGCCCCTTTTTTTTATATTCAGAGCTTCAACTTTAAGGAAACTGGTGTTTGGGGGTCATTAATGAAAAGTCTAGGTTACTCTTACTGATGTATTTACATTCTTGACAAAGTAAAATCTCTCCAATGTCTATAAATGAAAGGTGAGGTGCAAGAGCTGAATCTGATGTGATCATTGTCAACTTTCTGCTACTGACCCATTAATAATCTTTATCACCAATAGGGAATAACTATTGCATATGACTCACATGCTAAAAAACCTCTCATAACTTTCGCAATAAGAGTAACAAATTGTGTAAGGGGAAAACAGATCGCTTAGTAACTACCTCTAATAAAGCCACATCTATGAGACTGATCTCAGACAATGAATGGTCATCCCACAATTCCTGTTCCAGCTGTGTTATCACTTGTACTTCATAAATTCAGGTACTTTTTAGTAGTGTTTTACCTCAATCACCAAGGTATGTTTGAAGCAGTTCACGTTTTTTCCTTTCCACCAATGCATTTTCAATGTCTGCTTGTGTTGGGATGTTGGGCACATGAGCCATAAAACGCTGCACCTCTGATCGTTCATCTGTTTCATCCAGGGATATCTGTATGGGAGAATTACAAAAATTTAATAAAGAAATTTTATATTGAAAAATGTAAATCTCTCTAAATACAATAGTCCTTTCCCACATTAACCTCTAAGCAATTCATTTACAACCATCTGAATAGGAGTATCTCGGCTCATTCAATTACTACTCACTGGATGAGTGCAAAAATGCCCATGTCAAAAAATGCCAATTTAGACTTTGGCCCTTGAAACCTGGGTTTTATGGGCCAGTCTAAATTGTCATTTTTTGACACTGGCCCTTTTTGCACTCGGCCAGAGAACTTACAATGACCCTCCTTAGACTAAACCTAATAAATCTTTCGTCGTAGCCAAGTATACTTATTTTATCAATCTTCCCATACTCGAGCTTTCCATATACTGTACAGTAGGGTATTTATAAATCCAAGTATCAAGTTACACAAAAACTAATACTCACTCTACAGTAACACGATTAAACTTGCCTAGAATATTAAACTGACTTTGGTTCATTACTTCCCAACATCTTAAACTTTGCTGTTAACCTTTAATAATACATCCAGGTTTTCTTATTTGTGATAATAGCTGGTTAAATCCCTACTTCAAGTAAGACTCCACAAGTACAGTATACTAAAGAATTTCACCATTCTGTTCTTCTGTCATAAGCCTCAGTAACCTGCATTCCCTTCAGCACTATCTCCATACACAGCTAACAATTTTTCCATAACTTAAGTGCATCTATGTGCTGTACTTTATTTTTCATTCCATATACTACTGTACAGTTTTGCATTTTTTGCCAAATCTAGCAATCTTTAGTCGACTCCCCATCAATATTTTACATTAATATTATAGAAATGGAAAGTTCAACCTAAAATCCCCTTTTCTAGAAGAGCCTGTAGCTAAGATGCTCTTGAAGACAGGATGATTACATAAGGAGCTTTCTGTCCTAGGGATCAGCCCAATTAATGTGTGCCAGGGTTACTCCCTTACAGCCGAGGTGACGTTCCTCTACGTTAGCTAAGGCGACCCCGAGTGATGTTCCTCAACGTTCTTAATTAATGTGGCATATTTTGAATGTCCAAGAGAAACAAAATACTTTGTATGGGATATATGTTTAATTAGCAACTCGATACATGGGTAATCTTTGTCTCAAGATTTGTGCCTCGCGGTGGGTAACCCGCCAGCTCTCATGATGCATGCATGTCCTTTGACCTGTTTTCAATATTTTATAGTTCTTTGGGTGAAAATAGAAATATTTTGTTTTGTAGTAGCTTATAAGAAAGAAATATTATATAAAAGTGCCTTCAAGTAAGAATTATGTGTTGCAAGTGCGTGTCAACATAACATGACGCTCGCTGTGCGCAGCAGCTTCAAACAAAACATCTTTCATCACTTGACACTGCTCATCAACTATCCAATCATGCTATAATGTAAGTTGAATGTAAATACATTCTTCTGTTTTTTCTTATCATGGTGGGTTATTTGTTAACAAGAACTATCCTAAAAGGTTGAAGGTCCAATTACACTTACAGAGCCGTGACTGTCCACATAGCACTCAGCAGGCTAAGGTCAACTTCTGTATTCTTGGATCTGAATGAACTCCAGCAAGTTTATATAAAAAGTATGATGAAATACAGTAAATGGAAAAAAGAACCTTACCTCTTCATTTTCACTCTCTACATCATCTTCATCTTCCACCCCATTCTCTTGAGTCTCTTCACCCTCCTCATCCTCTCCTGTAATGGCTGCCAGTTTTTTGTTTGTATACTGTTTCACTGCTGCTTGTATTGCTAGTGAAGACAGAATAACAACAGTTAGACTATGATTACACCTTTTTCTTCTAACCTGTCTTTCTGGTACAAAGTAACAAGATCCACAAAACATCATGTGCCTTATCTCTTAAATTATCAATACCACAGGAAGTTCTCGGTGTTAATTTAAAAAGTAATTTTGTGATAGTTGTTTGGATCTTAAATCATGCACCCATATGGTATATTTTGGCTTTATAATTTTATTTTTACATACATTACTCACTCACAGATACCTGGGATATCATGGAACATGCAATATTAAATTCTACACCTAAAAATCATGGATATTTTTTTAACTGTCTGGGAAAAATATAGAAAATATAATGTAATAATTTTTTACCTTTTCTCTCTGCTTTCCGTTCTAATGGTATCAAAACACCATCATCATCATCTCTGTAGCCATAATAATCAGCATCAATATCCTTCATCAGCTCTCCGCGGGTCTTGCGAGGAGGGGGTGGAGGTTCTTGTTCAAACAGTTCTCGAACTCCAGGCAGGTCTTTGGCTGCACCAAAATACATATAACCTCTGGAAAGAAGAGAGAAAAAAACTGCAGTAGTAACAATTCAAGAAGAATTGTATGTATATCTGCTTTATCCTTTACTTAAACTATATATTCTCAACTATGTGAAAAGAGAAAGGACAACAGATCCCCTTTAGTGGGGTAAACTAGGGGACATTTAAATCCACTATTCAAACACTGATCATGACAAGCTGATGTCAAATACATTAGTTATACAGCATGTATACATAGACATACAGTATATCTCCCCTATTTTAGTCACATCCCAGCATCACAAAATATTTCCATAAAACTCACTTCAATCCCCAAATCATTATAAATGTACAGTGATCCCTCGGTTAACGAGCAATCCCCCGATTAATTAGTTTTTAACAAGCGCCCCTCCACACGTTTTCGCTTGCATTTGGCGGTCCACCAGCTGTAGTATTAGTCCGTCAATACAGTAATTGGTTCTAGGGCTTAAATTCCTTACTATTTTAGTAAATATCGAGAAGTTTGTACTATTCAATAATTTTAAAAGTTTTATATTAAATTTTTTAGTCATTTTAACACTTATTGAACATAATTGAAGTATAGGAAGCTAGTTTTTTGCACGCCAAACAGCCTGTCAACACACCATACAGGCGTCAGTCTGTGTCTTTTCAGTGGAGGTAACATCTTGCTTGAGAGACTCTTCAACTAAAAGCTTTTTTCTGTGTTTCCAAGCAAATTATTGGTCAATTTGAAATTTATTTTACATATTGACAATATATAATGCAGTGCAGTGTTGATTTAAAGAAAATAATCTTGAATTACACCAAGAGAACTAAAATTTTATGGGTGAAATGGCACCATGGGGTGACTTCTCTTCCACCCCAATGCCTTCTCCTCCACCCCCATTCTAATTCCCATCATCATCATCCAGGAGCCTTCTACATACACACCTCAAAGTAAGTGTACTTTACTACCGTTTTTGTTGATTTTAGGCAATTTTCAGTGAGCTGGAACCAATTACCCGAAAACCCATTGAAACAATGGTTTCAGTTAACGAGTTTTTCGGTTAACGAGCAACCTTCTGGAGCGAATGTGCTTGTTAACTGAGGGACCACTGTACTGTATTTTCAAATGGTAAGATTATGAGCCACATTCTTGATGGCACATCCATTGTCCTAATGGATCTTAAAGTTAATGGTCTCTGAAATTTGGACTCAATCTTCATTTTCCAATAAAATTGGATCTTATTAGAATAGGGGGCCCAATGGTGTCTCAGTTCTTAAGTGGACCAAAAGTTAACGGTTCACTCATTTATTTTATATAAAGCTCACCAAAATCTCTGAGGAAGTTTCTAAAAAATTGAAAAGCTGTGAATGTGACTGAAGGTGACTGGGACTAGGAATACTTATGCTATAAAATGGGAGGTCTGGATTGAATATACTGTACTGTACTGTACTGTACTATGCTCAAGAAGGATGTTTTGCTACAGAGAAATAAAATATTATACCTGTTGCCAGGGGCTTCCTGACCATCCATATCTGTCATCTTGGGTCCAACACGAACATAGTCTGGACCACCTAGCTCCTTAATTCGTACTTCCCAGTGACCCTTTTCTCGAAGAAGTTTATTGATTTCATCATTCAAATCTCTAATTCGGAATTCCCCTAAGCCAGCTGGTAGTTATGAAAGTAAAGTAAGACAATAGATTAAAATTACTTACAAAATTTGCATAAATAACTTAAGTTAACCCTTTAAAGGGCAGCAGTGCACTTGGGTATTTTACTCTGGCTAATGCCAGACAATTCTATTCAGCAGAAACACCTTCCCTGTAAAAGGCTAAGTATCTGTGTAACAGAAAAAGGGTTTGTATCTCTTCTAGACAAATTTAATTAAAGACCAAAAGTCAAGCAAGAAGCTGAAAGCATTAAAGAACAAATTTATACCTGCTATGTTCAATGTAAAACACTAAGCAACAAATTCAAAACAGTAAAGGGGCCAAAAGATCTGTTAAGACATTAAAATACCTTAAACCGTACTGTACAGTACAGTATTGTATGGGTACTAGTAAATGCAATACTACAGGTGGAAAACTGAACTATGTAAGTAAAACTACACTGTTTTATTGTGCAAAAAATATAAACACAGTAATGTCATTAAATCACTGAATGCAGCTGAGGTTTTGCAAACTGTATAGTGTATTTGTACTGTACCTAATTCTTGGTATTACAGTAGTAATTAAATTAGTATTTTCCTGCATTAGTATTTTATAAATTACTGTATACTATGCATTAAAGAAATACCAAATTTGTATTGAAAAATACTTTCATATGTTCATTCACTATTTTAAATCATACCATTTTGTATCTGGGAGACTTTTCGTGCAATTTCAGAGATGACTTGATTCCTCCACTTCTCAGCCTCTCGGAGATCTTCACACTCGGAGGCCAGGTAAGGTCGCCGGACTTTCTGCTGCTGTGTGCCTCCTTCTTGTGCTGCCCGCCACCGTGCCAATGTGGTCCTGCAAAATGTATAATATGGTGCTGCAAATGTGCACTCAAGTTGAATTAATCCCACAAAGTATATAATCTTGTTAAACTGTTCTGTAGTGTACCATACAGAACTATCTTGTTAAACTGGACCTATAGAGAGTCAAACCTTGCTAAATTGGTTTTGTAAAGTGTACTGTATCTTCTTAAGCTGGTCCAGTAGTGTGTTAAATCTTGTTAAAATGGTTTACAAATTGTCTTCAATACTTACATCAAGTTACTCTAGCTGCTGCATAATGGTCTGGGACATTTTTATGAATAAGAAATGAATATGAAAACTAACTTAGAATATCAAACTCTCTTGTCTTTGAGAATAAAGTTACGGTTCTCAACACTGTGGACATGATGGGAAAGCAATGAAAAATTAGGATTACTGATATTTGCAGTTATATTTACAATGAGGACAACTGAGAATCTACAGCGCAGACAAATTTTCTATTAATAAAAAAATTAAGTAAATTAAGTAACATGCTGAGGTCAAGCAGAGAAAGCTCGAGTTCCTCAACTTTATAAGGTACAGTATATGCAGATCGGGTTATTCTACTACCCAGGGTTTCAGAGTACTGTAGTGAAATTTTCATAACTGTACAATGTGCCAAGTATTAACTAAACTGAACTTAATTGTCATAATTATGCCCAAAGCCAATGAAAAGTATTTGTAGCTACTGTAGATGTACAGCCTATGAAAAAAGATGAAAGCTTATCAAACAATACTATACAGTATTAATAATTATACAGTACTGTATAATACAATATGTGGGACCATACTTACATAGCCTTCTCCGCATTCCGTGCCTGTTGGAAGAAAACACAAATTAGAATAATTACCAACATACACAGATGAATACCGAATAAGTACTGTACAGGTAATGAGAATTTAATTTAAGTGATTCAAAGTACAGTATATACTGTATAAAGTACTTGTACAGTAGTAATCATTACCTGTACTACAATTTGAATGAAATATTTTATTCAGAAACATTACTCAATACAAAATGATTTCATAGTTATTCACAGTACAGGTATATACTGTACTCTTACATATGGATACACAGTACAATAAACACCTGATCGTTCATGTTTTTACACCATTAATAGTTAGGTTAGGGTAGGTTAGGCTTGGTTGAAAATTATGGTTTTCCGGTGTGTGATTTGAACGACTTCCAAATAGGTGCATGACCGAAACGAAAATTTTACCAATGAGTGTGCCAGGTAATATTAAATATCCCATCAAAAAATTCTGAGTAGATACTGAAGTGGAGTCCTCTAAACCTTTACCACAAGATGCTTGAAAGACCAGGCGGCCACACAACTTTCAGCTCTTCGTCCTTACAAAAGGACAAATCACCACTGCACTGTCTATATACACGTTAAATCAATGTAAATTTGTATAGTGATTTCATTGAATAAATTTCTATTATCGAAACAAATTCGACAATTTCCCCGAAATATAATTGCGGCAAATTTGTTTCATTCGATAGGAAGCATGTTAAATATCAAGCATGTTAAATATCAAGGCATTAAACACCGAATAAACTTAATATAAACAACCCAAGGATTACCATTATAGTGTATTATGCTGTAGTATACTGTGGTGCAACACTGGTGGCTCACACACGCCGCCTCAACCCTCGTCTGGAGCACCTGGCCTGACACCAATTATTTCTATGATATATTATACATTGATATATTTCTTATTAATATCACCTTTTAGCTATTATATATACTTTTCATGAAAGAGAATATTGAAAATATTTCTTTATTTTTACTACATATTGTGATAAGAATGAACATTTTTTTTCATATCTTTCTTCAAAGTGGTATTTCATTTTTAATAATTACGTAACCTCCCGTCATATAAGACAAAATTAGACACTAAATTATCATAATAATAAATAATTCGCTCTCAAGTACATCTCAGTGATCCTAAATAAATGAGAAAGTATAGTAGATAAGAGATAAAAGAGTAATAAACACTGTAGAAGCTGTGCTCATTGTTTACCCTCGACCTTCAACATGGGCAACAGCTTCTCTTACATGTTACCTCAACGTTTTTCCTACTAACTCACTACGACGACAATGGGGAAGGTAATGAGTATGATGTAGCTCTTCAGTTCAGATTATTGCTTGGAAGTGAAATCTGAATTCAGTCTGGATGTTTTGAATTAGGGTAGAAAGTTTCATTACATGGTTGTTGTCTTGATGATTTGGTTGACGGTGATTTATTTTTCTTTGTACGTTAAATAATTTGAGGTGATATTTTCTTTTTCGGGGCTTACATTGCTTTCAGTGATTGCTCTGATACATGATTATTCTTTTATTTATGCACAATTTTACTTTCTATATGATATACTAACCATAGCTTCAGCTGTGTACCCAAGCTAAGGAATGGATCTCATTAGGATTGTACATGGTGTACATTAAGATGTAAGTATGTGTAAAATTACACTTTCTCGTGTAAAGTTTTTTTCAAGTTTTTGTCAGACTAGAACACTGGTAAAAGTGGAGGAGATGGTTAGCACCTGAGGGTGTTTATATATTTCGTTCGTTTTTTCCTACAGTTGTTTTTTGGGACTCTACACAGTAATAAAATTCAAACTACAAAATTATAGTATATGTTTTCTTTTAGCTTATCTTTTGATCATAAATTACTTGCTAGTGGGCATGACATGAGACGAGGGAAATACGAGGTAAAAACGCTGCGAACACTTATCATCTTTACAGTGATTAAATCCGACGGAGATCGTGTTTTGGTTCACATTGTTTGTTATGTGGGAGCGTCTGTGATCTTTGTTTACTCGTCAAGAAATGAACGATGATCTCACCGGGCATGTTTATTAAGATTTATATTGGATTGAATTTGTTCATTTTTCTAGATATGTTGTTTGGATAATATTAACTAAGAAAATCGAAATAACATTGCTTAGGTTAGGAAGTTAGGTGAGGTTAGGGAAGGTTCTAATAGGTTCTGTGCATTGTCATTTTGATTTTCTATCTTAGTATCATCCAAACAACATCTGAAAATTTGGTGCTTTTTCTGTAAAGTCCTACTGATGCTAACGGTCTGCTCCACCATTACCGAAACCGTTAGTAGTGAAGATGGTTAATTTTCACTAATGCACTGGTCTCTGTTTGGATATTAAAAATATGTTTTTCCTGTGTTATTTGATGAGTTTCGGACGAATTTTATATTCATTTTATCCGGAAGTCAAAAGTTTTTGAGAACGCCCCACCCTACCCATCAATCTTAACAAAATTTTTTTTTTTTTTTTTAGTAAATCACAAATAAAAAAAAACAACAAAACCAAACCTAACCTAACACTATTTTTCTGATGAAACTCTGCAATTGACGTAAAATAATCTCTATCACAATGTCAGCACAGCTCTTTCCACCTGTTCAGCCATATCTGGTTATTCTGGTATTGAAAAATCAAATCTCCGCTCCCGACGCACCCATGCATTGTTCATTGGCTAAGACAAAAAACTCTTGCCCAGTTATAAGTCTCTTAAGAACATAAGAATGGAGGAAACTGCAGCAGGCCTATTGGCCCATACTGGGCAGTCCCATTTACACCCAACCCCTATTGCTCATATATCCATCCAACCTATTTTTGAAGCTATCCAGCGTATTCAAGTTAATGATGATATTTGGTAACTTGTTCCACTCGTCCACTACTCTATTTCCAAACCAATGCTGGGGCTCTGGCCTTGCTGAGTTATCCCAAAATTCCAACTTACTGAGGCACCCCCCCCCCTACAAAAGTACAACAATCAAAAATTATCGACCATATATTTGTACGCAACAATAAAAAATTATCGACCCATGTATTTGTACATGTACTTACCAAATGTAAAAATGTAACACTTACCAGCACTGCAGGCAAAGAATGAAGCATCATAATAGGTGACACAGATGCGATGCATGGTAGGTGACACAGAAGTATGGTAGGTGATGCAGGTGGCCAGATATGCCGAGATTTCCCCAGATAATTTTACATATCTCGGCATTTCCCGAGTTATAATAATACATTCCGAGACCATGTCCATGCCGAGTTATCAAATGCTGAGTTATCGAGGGTTTACTGTACGTGTATACAGTACAGTACAATATTGTATATATGCAGTACAGTATTGTATACCTGTATATGCAGTACAGTATTGTATACCTGTATATGCAATACAGTATTGTATGTGAAGGGTACAGGTATTAATAAACACCAATTATTACAGTTATGTCTTTAATAATTAATGAATAGCAAATAAACAATATTATATCATGAATGACAGTCGTTTCATAAATAGTAGTGACGATTAGAATTAGTGAGAGGGGTAGCGTGTCAGTGGGAGAGAGGCGGGTGGTAGTGAATATCGTTTGGCTCTGCTTTGGCTGAGGTTAATCCATCTGCATCACTGAAATTATGATTTAGGTGATCATAATAGAGATAGTGGTGATATTGAGGTGGTGGTGGTGAGGAGATTGTGATAAGTGGTGAGGTGATGTGTTTTATAATTACCGGTATGTATTGGAATATAGCAGAAACCATTTACAGTATTAGCTATCATATGTTTTAACAAACAAATAATGCTTAATACCATTATACATATTTGTGAGTCCTTCCTCTATTACTTTACACAATTGAAGAAAATACTTAGGAATCATTTGTTGAGATATTTTCTCTTAATTTGTGTGGCTCTCATCAACATGTTCCTACACAAGTAAATGATGTGTAAAAAAAAATTGAGTTGTGTGTACAGTAAGTATGGATATGATCACTTGTTTATAGAATTTTTTTCTTTCAGAATAGAAAAGAATACCATGTAGATGAAATGGAGTCATATGGCTACAGCAGCAACACAATGGACAGTTCCTCAAGTAGCAGCAGCAGTGATTCTGGGTCCAGTGACAGTGAAAACAGTAATAGCAGTGAAAGGGAGAGAAAAAAGAAACATGTGAAAAAGAAAAGCTCCAAACTAAAGAAAGAGAAAAGAATCAAAAGAAATACAAGCGCTGGGAGTGAAGAGGAGGAGGAAGCAGAGTATGATGAACGAGAACGGCGGAAGAGGGCGAAACATTCTAAGCACAAGAGTGAAGCTGATGACAGATACATGGATGAGTATGAAACGAGAGAGGAACGAAAGCACCGAAGTAGTCGGAAACATAAGCATCATCACCGCAAGCACAAACACAAGCATCGACACCACCGACGCCATCGTAGTGAAGAACAGCAAGAGAGAAGAAGAGAAGGGTCAAGAGATAGAAGTGAAACGAGAAGAGGAAGAGATGGGGAAGAGAGAAAGTATAAAGACAGGCTTGAGTATGAGAAACCAGATAGAGAAAGAAGAATGGACAGAGAGACTGACAGAAGAGATAGAAGAGAAGAAAAGAAACATAAAGAAAGATATGAAAGCAGGTTTGTTACCCTTTTATTTTACTAATCTGGTCTTACTTTTCGCATTATTACCGGGTGCCCTTCACTCGCAAATCTGACTGACATTGGTGGTTGGGAGTAACATCAATAATTAGTATACCTCCGTTTTGTCATCCAGAGGAGGCAAATCAAGGGCAGGAGTTTTCCTCACATGATATAGGATAGGAGGCCTGAATGAACATGTTGCATTAATTCCTTTAGTAATTTTCCATTTTCTCTGTTGAAATATTGCTTGCTTTAAGTACACAAATATAACAATATACAGTACTGTATTTTGATGATGTGCACAAAAACACAGAGAACAGATGTTTGAATTGTTATATTTATACTGAACACATGGCCCCTCCCTTACTGTACACCTTGTTAATACATAATACTGTATCAATACTGTATCCATATACTTTACTGTACTTGTTCACACCTTTTGTTGTATTTTCAGTAATTATATGTGATGTGTCTGATTTTAGTTACACAGCATGAATGATCAGCCAACCTTGTGCTCAACAAAGAATGCAGTTTGACATGAAATTTTCTATTTATTTTGCTGGATTTTACAGCTCTATGACAGCTCTTTTTTTTCATCAGGCAAGTCAAAAGCAAGTGGGATGAAGAGGAGGACACTCAGTATGATCCGAACAAGCGCATCAAAATAGAATCGGATGAGGATGAAGATGAAGATGATGGTAGGGGTCAAACTAATCAAAGATCAGAGGATGATCGAAGGCGACACAAAACAAGAAAAGATGATGAAAGGGGAAGGCAGGAAGTTGACAGCGAACAGACATCTGAGAATGGCCGGTAAGGAAAGTGTAACACTACTTTACATGCTTATTCCAGAGATGTTGGCATCCATTGCAAATGAAGTAAGTAATGCACTCATTGGTCGGTTATCTATCACATGTGTGGACAGGACTTTGGGTTGTTTCTGAAATAATGCATAAGTGTCTGATTGCCCCCAAAGTGTCCAAAATAAGCCAAATATTGAAGTATGAAATTGGATGGGTTTACTAAAAGTTTTTTTTTCATGTTTTTTTTTCAGAAATTTTTTTGAAATAGTAAAAAAATTTAACTTGGAAAAAAATTAAACATGCCACAATGTTATGTTTAACCTCTTAATGGTGGTCACTGACAGATTACGTCTTCCCTTGTCATACCCTAATTGGTCACTGGCGTAGCTTTCATCACATTAAGCTAGGGTTCCATAGCCTTTGCTAAGGGCTCCCATGGGTTCACATCTGTAGAATAACTCATTTTATATGGCTTGGCAACTCATGGCTATAAATAGATGCGTGTGTGGAGGCCGCAAAGACAGAGACAAGGCGGAGTGGTTTTTTTTTTTTTTTTTTATTAGCCCACCCGGGCACAGGTCACTGACCCACATCGGGGCCTGGGGGACGAAAATGTAATAATGATATAATAATACTATTAATAATAATAATAATTCATAGTAAATAAAATTTATACTAAAAAATACGAAATTGAAAATAAATTTATAAATTAATAATAATGAGAATAATAATAATAACAACACTGTAATAATAATAATAAAGAAATAAAAAAAATAAAAAATTAGAAACAATATATTGTATGTATGTTGTGTTGTCAATAGTAAGAGAAACAATTGAGACCCTGCAATTGTGTGTAAATGAGGCAGAAAGTCAGATCAGCAACCTGGGACTTGGTCACAATTTTCGTGGTGCCATATGGCAACAGGGTCTACCATTAGACAATACATTATGCTTCCAATATCTTCCCAGGTGGTAGTACCTCCCTGTTTGGTAGCTGCCTACTACCTGTGGAAGGTGGGAATGCGACGTTCCCACCTTCCATATAGCGGTGTTGCCACATCTCCCACTGAAAACTTTCAGGACACTATCTGACATGCAACTTTTTGCCTCCAGTGTCTATAGAACTAATTTTGTAGTTATATTGGTATGTAATAACATAAGGAAGTGGAAGCAGACATGCTGGCACCTCTGAACGGCACTACGTGCATGGCAACACCCGACTGCCCGGAACCTTTAAACCAGGTAAGGAGCTCATTGGTGTGATTTTCACTGCTACCATGTGACTTTGGGGATCCTATGGGGTTGTTTTAGCCAACAAAATGAATGTAGAAAATCTTTGACCCTCTGGGCATGATTTAGGTTAAATTAATTGACCATCTATGGGTTAAATTAGATTGTAGTTACACTTTATTATAAATGTGTTTTTTTGTTTGTTTGTTTTAGGCCTGATTGGGAGAGAGTAAATAATATAAAACAAGACAATTCAGGAGCAGAGGAAGATCGGCAAAAGCCCAACTTGGGACTCTCTGGAAAGCTGACCGAAGATGCCAACACATTCAATGGTGTTGTTATAAAATACTCACAACCACCTGAGGCCAGGAAACCTAAACGGCGGTGGAGATGGTAAGACAGTCTTGAAGTTATACTTGTTGTTTCAAATGTGATCTTATGGCTGGAGTAGCACATTTAACCACCAGGCCTATAGATTGAAACTCCCAACACAAAAGTCCAGCTCAGCCCTTGACAATAGTGGCTGAGACTAATGTAATAAATACTTATGCCTTTCAGTTATCATCAATTATATGAGAGGAACCTTTTGAAACAACAGCTGTCATATAAATTAGAAAGCAATGAGTTGTAATGTTACATCAGCTGGTACAATTGGCTCTCTACTGAGCAACATCTACATAAAGCTAGGAGCAACTCTCCTCACCTTAGTACTTGAACATTTATTGTGTTTGTATCATAGAAAGTTAGTTACTCATCTTATCATATGACAGTACTGTACTGTACTGTACTTGATAAGAGTGCCTGACCCGAAATTACAGAATTCCTGGGTGAGATGTGAAATAGAAGTACAGGAACTTTTATTGGCTGGAGGCAAATGGACACTAGATATTAACCACTGGAGTCAACATCCCTCTGCATTGGAAGCTGCATGTATTGCAATAATAGGTCTTTGCCCCTTAATGATTTACTAAACCATGGTTAAAAGTCTTCACATTTAACTGGGAAAATTTAGTTTTATTCAGCAGCAGCCTATACATAAACTCTTTTTTTGTGTCTAGAATGGAATATAATTTGTTTTTTTCAATCTTCAGAAAGTTAATACGTATACTGATTACAGCACTAAAAAAATTGAAAAGTGATAAAACAACGCAGGGAAAAGAGTTTACAGGCAAGGTCTGAAGCTATGTCCCTTTACCTAGGCGTGGCACATTACAGTCAGGTGCAAGGTTGCCATGGTAAATTCCCATGATTAAAATGATGGTAGCCTTGATCATGCAGAACTATACTTCCATTATGATGTTTATAATACAGTAGTCATATTACTGTTAAGTTATCATAAATGTTTTTTAACATTCCTTAAAGCATTGAACAATTTGAAATAGGAAAATGCTGAAATAAAAACTTTTTTCAGTTGTTGTGTTCGCATTCCACTAAATGGACCAGCTTAGAACAATACTGTATCGTACTCTGTCTAGGTATTTTTTTCGCAATCATGTAAATTTTCTTTACAAAGCTTTCTTATTATGTGATCATGAATAAGTCTTTCTCATAGTCTAAAATTCTTGTATAAGCATAAGACTCCCAATATTAGAATTCATGGTTTTCATTTTCTGTTTTTGGAAATCAAAATGGGTCTCATTATCCTCTATGTCCAATCATGGTAGTCATTTCTTGTCTTAGGATTATCAAACACTAATCAGCAATCATCACTTCTGATCCACATGTCAAAGCATGGAGCAACCAGAGTGTACATCTGTGGCTTCCTGCAATGAGGGGCTGGACCATGGCTAAACATTTGTAAATTATTATTTGGACAGCAAAACAGACTGCTTAGTGCCTTGTGCATTCGTGCTCACGGAGCTGGGTTAATTCCCTTAGTGGGTTGTCACTACTCACTAGCACCAGGAGATTTTTATGCCATTGTCTTTCTCTTAGCTGGTGTCAGAGATGTATGATGCCAGGTTCAAGCTTTAGGTCATAATTGGAGGATTCACCATGAAATCCTTTTTAATGACTGAGCCTGAACTAGGTGACTTAATTATTCTCTCTAATCCTAGTGGGTTATGTTGAAGGTGATTGGAACTGAAGACTGAGCCTGTAATGACAGTTTGTGGCTGAGTCATGCGACAGGCACAAATCTGCACAGGCTGGTGTGACATTACAACTCACAACTCTACCTCAGATGGTGATTATTGATTCTCTAGATCTCTTTTCAAAGACTTGGTCTCGACAGAATGAAGTCTCCTTTGGTTTTAATGATGATGGGCCAATGTTTGGTCCTTCTAAGGAGGATTTATGGAAAAGGGAGAAGTCTTATTTTTTTTTCCAAGAGAAGAGATTCGATGTTTAGGTTTACTATGGAACTCTAGAAAAAGTATGTAGGTCTGTCTCCTAGGAAAGTTCATGGACTCCCTTCACAACTCTCTCAGAAGGTTGTTTCATTTAGGCAGCATGGGAGGTTTGAAGATACCATAGTCTTGACCAGTGGTTTTTAACCTGGGGGATGTTTCAATCATTTAGGGGGGGTGCAAAGGATTGAACATATTTCTGACTCAGAATATACTGTATATTCCCACCAAAATAAATTAACAATTCAAACATTTATAACAACGTAGGGCATTCATTAATCTCAAATTTAACTTCATGTAGTATTGCTAGAGACATCATTCTTTTTCATTGGTTCCCCCACAAGTATAATGTGAAAATTTTTTGGAAATAGGAAGGAGTAATAGAAAGACTAACATAAATATGAGATGCAAAGACAATGCTGGTGTTTGAATGCCTATCAGAGCTACATTTCTGCTTGACTGAGCTGAGACAATATTACCATAGCATGGGGGTTCCCTTTTTGTATCTGGTGGTCAATCAATTCAACCCCTGGTCAATCCAACCCCCAGTCAACTCATCTGCCTGTCATCTTGACCCCTGTTAACCCAACCCCTGTTTGTTTTCTTGGTTCTAAAAGGGAAATAAAGGTGGTGAAACTGGACCTTGAAGAAAATGTATTCTTAGGCACTTTGAGGATCCAGAGGGAGCGGGGGCATGGGTTCAAGGTGGATCATAGGGGGGGCACTGCTCCAAAAAGGTTAAGAACCACTAGTCTTGACCCTCAGTTGGTAGAGCTGGACTGTCTGTGCTTGAAGCTGTTAGTGTTTAAAGACTCAAACAGTTTCTGAGAACTAATGCAGTAATGATTGTAATACTTTCTTTATTGTGTTTCATTGAGGTAGATATCAGACCTTGGCTGGATGTGAAAAACATGATATGAAAAGGAAAAGTCTCCTCCTTTTCAATGCCTTTTGTATTAATTTGAAGGCAATGTTTGGTTTCTCTTTCACCAACTCTAGATGGGTTCTCTTCATGGTAAGATTATTTTTGTTTTGATGATTAAACCTTTTAAGGTTGCCTGTGCAGTATAAGAAGTGGCTTGTTTATGTTGCTTTTAAGTTTTCCTGTTCCTTCATATGGATGCATATTGCTGGAACACTTATTATTTCATCCTTTCAGACCAGCGGTGGGGCATTTGTACCATATTTCCCCCAGCCAGAGGAGGAAATATTTTAATCTAATTTCTGAATGGAAACTTGACTAAATATACACGCTTACATGTTTCTTTTCTTTTACAGGTATATTTTTAAAGGTGAGGAAGATCTTCCATTCCTCCCACTTCACCGTCAGAGTGCATACCTCATTGGCCGAGACCGCAAGGTGGCAGACATTCCAACAGATCACCCGTCCTGCTCTAAGCAACATGCCGTCCTGCAATACCGACTTGTCTCATATAACCGAGAAGATGGAACCAAAGGTAAAGCAAGAGTTGTAATGTATTCTGTTTATGTATTTAAGATGTTTTTGTTAATTTTTTTCTGAGCAGCTTGAAGAACATCTGATAATGGTTATTACTTGTTTAACAGTGCTGTTGTGATGAAATACAGAAAATTTTCATTTTATATGGAGGTTTTGTTCCTAGAGAGCTCCATGGATATTGAATCGATGGAAATCAAAGTTCATAATTTATAGGTATAATGGGATGCGTTCCAGACCTAGAATTTCTGCCCATTTGACCTTGAGATTTAACAATAGAAAACCCAGACTAATCAGTTACAAAAAAAAGGTTAAATACAAATATGTTTAAATGTAATACATGCACTGTGTGAATAATTAACAACCACTCCTGCATGGCAGTAGCCTCAGCCTTTAGCCATTCTCAAACTTTTACTTTTTAATTAACAGTGTAGGCACTTCACTTCCACTTTGTATTTGAGGCAGGTGTAGAAGGCATCTTACCTTGTTAAGAAGGCATGGTATCAAGTGATGTTGAGCAGTAAATGATAAACATTCACACTAATAGGTGAGACACAAGTTTAAAACTGTACTGATGTTGTTGATTGTTGGTATTTACAATGCTGTGTTGAAGTGAGGACATGGTTTTTGTTAAATTTACTAATTATTCCAAGGGTCGAAGTTTTTCATAAATTATGTAGTACATGTACAGTCTCGTTCAAGACTCTTTGAACACTGCTGGAGACAGCTAGTAGCTCAAGGTCGTTTGTTTACTATAGTACGTAGTAAAAATTATGAATGAATTTAAAACTGATTGGTGATTGATTACTTAGTTTCCGGTTGCTTAATTAATGGTTGGGCTTTGTTGTTTCGTATTATATTATACTTTTCTGCTGGTATATACTGTTAATTTGATTTTAAAATGGATAGAGCAATGGGCAAACCTATGTGAATTCATGTTTAGATAATTAAACATAAGTACAAATCGGTAAGTATGTTGAAAAACATCATGCATAGGGCATAGCTGTGTGCAGGTTGTTTATGAGGTTGCTTGTTTGTCAGTAATTTATACTAATATTATCTTCAAACATTTAATCCCTTTCGGGTAATTAATCCAGTCGTATGTAACTGATGCTAAACAGTTTTCTTTCATAATTTTTACTACGTACTATAGTTAACAAACAGCCTTGAGATGCCAGCTGTCTCCAGCAGTGTTCAAAGAATCTTGAACGAGACTTTGCAACCACTTTTATACAAAATTCAGGAATTTTTAACACAAATTAAGATGCTTGAATTACTAGAGCACAATGTGCTGGTCAGTATTTATGTAAATTATTAATAATGTATCATATGGTGTGTATACATTATGTATTCCTTTTTCACTCCGTAGGTCGAACAGTGAAGCCATATATTCTGGACCTTGAATCAGCCAACGGGACTTATGTCAACAACCGCAGGATTGATCCTCGCCGATTTGTAGAGTTGCTGGAGAAAGATGTTGTAAAATTTGGTTATAGCTCAAGGGAATACATCCTGCTGCATGAAGGATCAAAGGGTGATGATGAAAATGCTCCAGATACGGGTGTAGACCTGAGTCCTGTCTCTCTCCTCAGGAGTAAATAGAATGAGCCCTAAAAATCCTGCATATAGTTCAATCCTCTTGAGTTTGTGAGACAAGTTAATACTGAAAGCACATGTTGATAAATTTCATACATAAATTCCTTCAGTATATTTTGCCTATCCTGTCAGTGTCATGAAAATATGCTTGAAACACTCCTCATTCTTTAAATTATTTGATTTTTAAGGAGTACCGGTACCAGCTATTATGTGAGTAATTATATCATAGAATTACATAGGCTTTGGAACCTAAGGGGAGTGCCAGGGGCACTTGCCCCTGCAATATGTAGAAAAAAATAATTTTATTCATTCAGTGCCCCCTTCTCTCACCAAGAGCTCAGCACCTTAAGACACTTGCCTCCCCCCAGTGACAAATATGTTCCTATGCCTACAAATTATGCAGGACACAAAATGAGCATCTCATTTGTGCAGGACATCATCATTGAATTATTACAGTTTATGAAAGAAGCTTGTGTAGTTGCATGTTCATTTAAAGAATATATATTTATAAGCTACAATTTAAAGTTTTACTTTCTAGTAAACTTGTCCTTAACGTGGAAGGTACTAGCACACTTGTCACAAAAGTGCAATATGAGTGTGAATATCGTTTGTTGGGTGGTGTTGCTTGTCTTTGATGTTTTCATATCATACACTTGATGGGTGCCAACACACACACACACACACACACACACACACACACACATAAGTGCACACAGTGTTATATAAATGTGTATAATTTCTTTATACATAGAGTATATTTCAAGTGATTTTATATTTTGGATAATTTGTTAATGCAGTGTATGTGTACAAAATTCCTAGATTCATTTGACATGTCACAATCCATCATTTGATACTTGTTTCATGTAGATCCACAATGAAAATGTGGGTAAGATAAATCTTGATAAAATCACACAGGGAAAAGGGAAACAATAGAGCACCTTAGCTTTCGTCTTTATTCAAGACATCTTCAGAGGCAACTGCTGCCTCTGAAGATGTCTTGAATAAAGACAAAAGCTAAGGTGCTCCATTGTTTCCCTTTTGTATATTTTGTACAAGTGCTTTCCTTCATTCTTGGTTGTCTTCATCTTAATGACTTATTATTCGAGTTATCTTTAGTTTACTACATATTTATTTACCTCTTTGTCTAGAGATACTTGGCAAGTTTTTCTGTACATACATTTTCCAATTGAAACAGTCTTAAGAGTAATTTGTCCATTCAAACCAATCCACTATGCTACACTTAATTTACTGGAAGGGGAACACAATAACAAACCAGAAATCAATACTTAAGAGGGATTGACTAATAGCAAATGTGTTTGTTTTTGGCTCTGACCACCCTGCATGATAGTGGAAGAGGGTTAAAAGATTGAAGCAAGGGTGACTTAGAAATGACAATTGGCTGCATTTAATTGAACTTGAAAAGTAGTCATTGGGCAAATTAAATGCAGTCAGAGCTGTGTACAGTATTATTTATTTATTTTTTATTTTTATTTTATTTTTTATTTTTTTTCATTTATTTAACTGTCAGGTGTTACAAAGTAGGCTATCTGTTACAAATGAATACTAGAAAATTTCTTCAGCCACACCATAAGTGCATACTTTTCGTGTTTGTGTAATGTACATCTTTTTGGTATTTATCAAGCAAGTAGCCATGTGTGGAGCTTGTTAAGGATATTCAGATTTATTACTCAACACTCATTATTGAATCTAACATAAATGTTCAGCAATCAGTTTATCAGTTCATAGTGGCAGTGTTGATGATATAACACGGCCTTGATTGTTCCCACCCTAAACATGTAAGTTTATACCATTCTTATGAAAGCTCATTTACATTATTCTTTTTGCATAATTTTGTTAATTTGACAACTTTTCATTTCTTTGTACTGTAAATTAATTGTTCAGCATTTTTTAAAAGATTGCAAATTTTCTTGGCAATGTTTTGAATTTTCTGGACACATTTTTACCCCATAAACATAGATGTTAAGGACTTAGTCATCCTATTATTCATCTATCCATCATTCTATTTATATTTCCTGGATTGCAGTTCATAAGCTACTTCTTGATATTTTTTGATACTAAATTAAGAGAAAATTTGTAAATATGTTCCTATGATGCAATCCATCAGTAGAATTGGGGTTAGTCCAAATTACTGATCAAGTCTCATCTGATTGTTAAGGGATGTGCTGTATATAAACTTCATAATGTTGATCTGATGCCCTGCATACTTGAGACTACTGTACTTTGGTCCTGAATTACATGAGTTTCTAAAGTTATTTATATAAACCCATGATACAATTTGTTATTTTTACAAGCTGGGGAAAAATGTGTGTAAGAATGATTAAACTGTTTTGTAAAGTCTTTTTTTTTTTTCATTTGTGTCATATTAAGTTTTGCAATTCAGTACAGTATACGGTTCTTATTTTGAAACAAGACATGTTGGTATGTGTGGATTACTTTTCTTTATATACAGTAGACTCTCAATTTACGCAGGGGTTACGTTCCTGGGGCCCGGCATAAAGTCAGAAACACTCATAAAAATAACCTAAAAACTTGGTGCCTTCTCCCTGAGCACGTTGCTGTCGATGGGGACACGTTTCTGGTTCATATCCTCCACCCAGATGTTTAATGCCTTCTCCACCTTCACTAGAGTTACGTCTCTCACCTGGCTCACCTTAGCAATAAATGAGGCACTTGTAGACACGGTTTCACGAATTTTCCTCTCCCGAATCTTGATGAATCTCACTCTTGATTCGTCCTGCCCGTACCTCCGTGCCACAGCAGCGATCGACATGCCGCCTTTTATTAAGTCTAACACGGTCACTTTTTCTTCCAGGGTCATCACAGAGTGTTGTTTCTTCGCTGGAGGACCAGGGGCAGATGTTGGCTTGTGTTTGGGCATTATGAATGAGTATGAGTGAAGTTTAAGTGCACTAAATTGACACACACGAGAGGCAGCTGTTACTCCGATGATACAAGTGTGGCAACTGAGATAGACAGAGGTGGCCAGGTGGGATGGCGGCGGAGGGAGGGGGAGTGCTTTTGGCAGGTTTGAGACCCATTTTGAAAGTTTTGAGCTTGAAATTGGAAATTTTAACCTAACCCCCGGGGTAATCCGTGTATAGTTGAAACCACGTAAGAAAAATTCGCATAAGTTGCCAGTCTACTGTACAATATATATTTGTGTGAAATGTCCTTTACCCTGTAGCTGGTTCACTCATACAGGCCCCCCACTACACTCTCTGCACATTCCCACAGATTCTCTTTTTCTTCCATTACCAAAGCAGTTAACTGTTTTAGTCAGAAAATGCAGTTTGCCACCTTTGGAGACAAGTTGTAATGATTCAGAGGCTGTATACAACATTTGATATTGACAACGTATGTATAGGTCTGACTTATAACTAACTAGTCTTTCTTCTTTTTTTCCAACCTTGAATATATTGCAATATTTTAAACATATACAGGTATGGGACCACTTATCTGGCATACTTGGGACCTGGGGGTTACCGGAGTTTTTTTTTTTCCAGAATTTGGAGCGCCAGGCTTTGAATGTACAACAGACCCTCTGTGACTGGCTGTGAAACCTCTTTTTAAATCACTAGAGTCACCCCTAAAATTAGCTTTAACTGTACACTGTAACATTAAAACTTATAATGATAGGCATATAAACAGCAATAACAAAAGCATATAAATAGACACATTAATAATGAAAGTATAAAAAGTCGCAGTCACCCTTGATATTCGCCTTGGCAACGGTGCTCCACCGCAGACCCTCTGACCTCCACACACTCGCCACAGCTTGACAGTGGAAACCCGTAGATACATAAAAGTTTTACCTTATGATAATTATTTCCTTTTGCACTTTCTGTTTGCAGGATTATGTGTGCATGTAACTGAGTAAAAAAAAAATAAATAAATAAAATTATGTGTAACTACCTGAAATAAAATTTGAAAATTGCGAGTTGAAAAATAAGCATAACATAACATGCAGCTGACAGGTGGGGAACAGTTGGAAGTATTCCCGCATGGCCCAAGAGTTATTTTTGACGCTCATTTTAAGTAATTTGTTCTACAATACATTACAGTATACAGTAGCTGGTTTTGGGAATGTTCCAGATACCCGGACGCCGGTTAAACTATCCCATACCTGTACAAAAAAAGGAAGGTTCATATATAGCATTTCAGAATTATTTGTTTAGTTATGATTTTTGTGAAGTCAAAGAAATAAATTGTTTGTATGAAGAGTCAAGAGTGTTGTAGTTTAGATGTTTTGCAATTTGTATGGGATTTTTCATTATATACCAGGTCAATGCAATATGATGTAATGATGAAAAAATAAAGATCCACAAATAGATAGTCATGTTACTGTGATCATGATAGTTGTACAATGTATTTTGAAGATCACTGAAGTGAGTTCAGAGATGAAGATCAACTAAAGCAGTTGTTTGTGATGATACTTCATTTTTCTTAATTTAGCTTCTATTTATGACTAATGAATTTTTTATTTGCATTTAGATGGAACATTGATAGATACAATATTGGTATTGAGGGTCCTACTTGGTAATCATGCCTGGTACCACAGAACTTATGATTATTATCCAATTGTGTGAGTTTGTTTAACATAAAACACAAATACTGTACACCTACCTGGCTGTCAACAGACACAAAAATAATATGTATACTGTACTACACAAAGTTTTAGCCACTCATGATTGGATTTTTATTTGGACACAGGAAACTACTGTACTTGGAAAATAGAAATTAATAAGAGATAATTCAGGAGGTATTATATTGACAAACAGATCCAAAAATAATACTTAACCATATTGTATTAGATTGCACTTACAGTTAATAAGGCATAATACATTTTTCACAACATTGAGTACTGTAGTAAATTGACAATGGGAAATATGTGGGAAGGTTATGTTCATGAGGTAGAAAAAAATCTTAAAATCAAGTCCTATTCTTTTTTCCTAACCTTTTTTCTGTTAGGCTGTGGGATGGACAGAATCAAGAGCAGCCTTAGTCTCTGTCTTCATTCACCAATTGCAGACATGAAGTTTTTTCCAGACTAGTCTAGATTTCTGACTTTTAGATTGCCATAATCATTTCTGATATAAGCATAATTCTGTGAAATAAAACTATGGGTTTAGGGTTGTATACTGGTGACCTGGGCAGTCCACGGTCCCATGGCCTAAAATTTTCAGGACAAGCAAAATCTCCTTATAAACCACTCAGTGCCATGCGCTCTCTATAATTCTCATGCACTTCTGCTTTTTGGATGTCCAGCCCTCTCATTTCAAGTGCTGTACTTCACCACCTACCCTTGAATTACATATACGTACATGTGTAGTACTGTACAGTTTTTCCAGTTTTTCAATAAGTCCATACTACCTTTGCAATATTTGTCCAGCTCTCGCAACACACTTGTAATTTCTACATCTCTGATTTCTCTTATTATATACTTATTCTTTACAACCTAATGAATTCCACATATTGCCCTCAAACATATCATTTCAGT